GGGAACGGAGAAGGAGAATGGTATTTCCAAAATGCTTAGGCACTCCGGAGCTCGCGGTGGGCTAGGGGAAGAGAGTACCTTTGGGGATCCTGCATTGCGAGCCTAGGGGAGTAGGTGGGAGTGAGGGGGTGCGCCAGGCAGAGGGTGGGAGGGAGGAAGCCTGGGAGCTTAGGAGACTCCGAGGGCCTTGGGGCGCGCCAGGAAGTGAGCAGCACAGGCGAGGGGCCTAACTAGTGGCTGGGTGCTGACCTGGATGTGCCATCTGTTTTGCCTCACAGTGAATCCCAACTACACCGGTGGGGAGCCCAAGCGTTCCCGGACGGCCTACACTCGGCAGCAAGTCCTAGAACTGGAAAAGGAATTTCATTTTAACAGGTATCTGACGCGGCGCCGTCGGATTGAAATTGCTCACACTCTCTGTCTGTCCGAGCGCCAGATCAAGATCTGGTTCCAGAACCGGAGGATGAAGTGGAAAAAAGACCATAAGCTGCCCAATACTAAAGGCAGGTCATCATCGTCATCTTCCTCCTCCTCCTGCTCCTCCTCAGCCGCCCCTGGCCAGCATTTGCAGCCGATGACCAAGGACCACCACATGGACCTGACGACCTTATAGAAGTGGGGACCTTGGGCCCATCCCTCCCTGCGCTCCAGGCTGAGCCGAAGCTGCGGGGGCAGGCCGGGCCTGCTGTGACCTCGCTGGGCTCTAAGGTACTGTGGGGAGGACCTGGGCCCTGAAGGCGGCCCTAGACTAGGTTAGCTTCCTGCCCCAGGGCAACCCCCTCCCTAGAGTGGAGCTGGGGGTGGGAGGGGTGGGCGGGTATCTCTCTCTCTATATTATCATATGGCAGGAGCTACTGAGAACATAAAACCATGGAGAGTCATTAAACTCATGAAAATCTCTGCTGTTGGATTTTGAATTTGCAAATGAAGGTTGGATGCTTTATCCCATTGTGAATTGGGCATTCTCCCCCACTCCACCCCTCCAGGGAGTTTTGTGGTTTGGTAATGTGGGGGAGTTGAGGCAGAAGGTTGGCCATCCCTGTGATAGGTGCTCATGGGAGCTGGAGAGTTGGGCCAAGATTTCTGAATTTCTGGGCTGTCTGTATAATTTCCAGCATAATTTATATTTAAAAAAAAGTTTTGCTCACAGTGGCCCCATGCCCAAAGAAATAGGTTTAAGAAGGAAGTGAAAACGGGTTGTTTTATGTTTAGATTATATTTGCTTAAATATTTATTTGTTGGAAAAATTGGGTGCAGAAATAACTGACACCTTCATGCCAAAAATCTTAAGATGGTGGAAGGGACTGAGCTTCAGGGAACTGAATCAGATGTGTGGACTTACTTCTGGCTGTAACCTGCATATTGAACTCCACCCCCTCCTGACTCCCTGGAAATATATGTAGGGGGCCTTTAACCCTTTTAGAGGGAAGGGAGGGAACCACTCAAAGTTGAGTTCTTGAAAATATAATTCCACATGTGATTTTTTCAACACTGTGCTTACAACCAGTTCTGGGTGATTAAAGGAAAGGGCAAAAAAGAAACAAATGGTCCAACATTTTCCTTCTGGGGAAAGAAAACAAAACCACTATGCTCTGGGTCTCAGATAATGACTGACTTTTCTGTTCCAACTGGATTCCAAATGTCCCAAATACCCCACATAGAAGCATTTTGTAGGAATTAGTGTATACTTATATAGGAGAAGAGCTGTGCAAAGGGGTGAAAGTGGGTAGGTGAAACATTTTGTGTTTAAAAAGAAACTGATTGAATCTAAAAGTCAGCAAAGTTGGTAGGGTTTTCTTCCCCCTTGAAGTTTTAATTTTAAAAAAATACCTAAGGAAGTTTTTCTTAAACCATTAATTAGAAGCAGAAATTGTAAAAGTATTAAAGTTTTCAGGCCTCCTTTGCCTTTAGAATAGTGGTTAAAAACACTCTCAAAACGAGAGAGATTTTTTAGTCATTTTTCTTATGCCATGTCTGGGAAGAGTTCAAAGCTCATTTTTGTGAAACGCCGACCCTTAAGTATCAGGAGAAAACAGAACTGCCAGAGTTCATGTACTCAAATGAAACAAGTATTCGTAAGTTTGAAGCCCAAAACCTCAGGCTCCAAGAAAGAAACCTCTGTTTCCAGCTACTAAAAAGTGACAAAAGAGGGGAGGGAGAAGGGCTAAGCTGAAAACATAATTCTACGATCTATAGTAAGGTTATTTTTTCAGTGCTTCGGACCACTTTAGAAGGTTTCAATGATGATCTTTAAAATATTCTTAAGTGGAAAAGAGAGGGTGACTTTCTCTGCAAGCATGTTTTTTGGTTCTGTGTCTCCTGAGAGCTAAGGGCAGGTATTCACTGGAGTCCCTAGGCTGAAATTCCGCTTCTCTAAAGTATCTTCCAAGCCTTGGTCTTTTGTATTAAACCCTGGGGACAGCTCTTTGTTCCTCCTTGGGGTGAGCCTGGCTCTCAGACTTGCACATGGCAATACTTGAATATGGCCACGTCGGGATATTAAAGATGGATATTCCTGCATTATTCACATCATTGTTTCTATGACAAAAAGCTCAGAGTTCATACATAGTCAACATGTCTTTTTTCTGACGCCCTCACGTTGAGAAGCTGAAAAGGTATTTTACTGAAGTTCGGCTAAATTACAGAATCAGGTTCAAACAGAGGACAAATTTTCTATTCGATTAGCTGTATTTCAGCCGGGAGGACTGACCTCTAAACCCTTAACCTTTTGGACTCTAACTACCCTTCTCTTCTTTTCTCCCCCCTATAACATGGAGAGCAGTCTTTGGATGTAGCTAGCATTTGAAAAGAGCCGCTATCCTTAGGCAACTTGGAAAGTTGATAAGATTCTTTCCTAAAACCCAAATCTGCATACAATGCAGCTTCTCCTTGGGAGAGGAAAAGGGTGTATATTTTTATAGTATCTAACTACATAGATATTATGGAGATTATTACACAGATTTTCTCTCTCATGAGAAGTTCTGGTTACTCACCCAGGTTCAGATCAAATGCCACACTGCTTACCTGCCTTCACTCCTGCCTCTAAGGAAAGCCAAGAAAGAGGTATGTTTTCCAGGATAGAACCCCAGCTTCTCCTCTAACATAGTCTCACTACTTTGGAAAGTAACTTAATGAGAGAAACAACTTCTTTGTTTATGAGACTGAGTTCTCTTCAGCTTCGAGGGATTCTCTTTTGAAATGTTAATGGAGCCTGGACGGCCAGAGGGCAGCTTCCAACCCTGAAGTCTTCTTGGACCCTAGTATCCATTTGGGCCCTCAGAAGTGGGCCAGGCCAGGGACCTGGCCCTGCAACCACCTCGGGCAGGGACAGAAATGAGTTTCCATCTGGGAACGTGCTCTTCAGAAAGCTAGACGCGGAAAGGTTCCAGTCCCCATTTGCTATTATTTGTTTACAGTTTGTTCCCCCAAATATGAGCCAGAAGTATTTGCTTTGGTGGTGTTTTTCTTAAGCCTGTGTTGGGGTCCTGTCTGGGGGGGCATGAAGTGTTTGCTGAGGAGATTGCTCCTCCAACCCCCATCTCACTTTGTCCACTGCAGCCTTTTGTTGTGAGATGACATTGTCAGTCAGCCCCGTGGAGTCTGTTCACATGAGATGCTTTTTTAACAGAACTGACCAATGTTTTGCTGCCACTGATTAAAGTATTATTTATACTAATTGTTGCCTGTAGTTTTGATGTAATTCATTGATCTATATTTGAAATAATAAAAAAGTGTAGTAAAATCTCCCTCCTGTTTGGTGCCTTGACAGAAACATTCTCTGTTATTTTCTACAATAAATTAGTCACCAATTTATTTGGTGCTTAAGGTGTGAAGCTTAAACTGGTGCAAGGCTTAGCAATTCTAGTAGCACCTCCTCTCCCACATATACACATGCCCAGTTTGGCTACTGTGCTCTGTGAGCATTGAGAAACGTGGGGTTGGGTTCAGGCTGCAGAGGGTGGGCATTATTTGTTGAGATAAAAAGAACTAACTGCATGGACTAACAGGGGTCTCTTTATTGGCTTTCTGTTTGTCCCTGTCCAACCCTAGACCCCCTTCAGTCAAGAGCCCTCAGGGGAGGTCTTGATGATGTGTTGATTTGAGAAACCTTTCTGCTCCGGAGACAGAGGGGAAAGGAACTGATTCTGGGCCGAGCAGAGAGAGGCGCTGGTTCTGGGCCGAGCTTAGGCTGGCTGGTGGCTGCTCTGACCTGACCCGGGCTGGCCTCCAATCTTGGGCTCCTTCTGCTTTTCCTATGCTGCTCAGCCCTACAGGGACCTCTAGCACCTGCCGCCCTTTCCAGCACCCCTCAGACAACAATAAACACTCCCCCACTATAAAAAGTACCCTGAACTATTTTTATCTCCAGGGCTTTTTTTCACATCTTGGCCTCAGCCTTGAAGAGGGGGCCAAGACAGGAGTCCCAAAATAGATGGAGGGTTTGCTCGAGACAGGAAATGAGTAGAATGCGTAAAATCAGACATGTGTCCTTAATATATGGAAGGGCTCGCTCCGGACGCGTGGACATGTGTATTTATAAGTGCGCAGACAGAAGTTTAAATATTCAGACACATTTTATGATTGTCCTCTGCCCGTCTTCTGGTTAATGGCTCCTCCTGTGCCCACCAATACATCAATACCGAGGTGTGTATTGAATCGCGGGCAGGGATGAGGAGAAAGCGAGTCCACAGCCAAGCCCGCTGAGTACAGTAGAGGGAAGCGGCCCCTCGGCTGGCCGGCAGGCAGCCAGGCAGGCAGCCGCGCTTCCCGCCCGCCCGCCATGTTGGGGAGCCCT